CCTGGCGTAATTTGTCGTGGAACCACGCGGAACTGACCGAACTGATTTTAATTAACCGCGGAGGGCAGGAAAGTCGGCGCGCGTCTTACTTTCTTGTAAATCCGCGATCGTAATTAACGAGAACGCGGAGGCGAGAAAGAAAACGGTATATAATGTTATTTTCAGATGCCGAAGCCGTCTGAATTTATGATCGTGCACGCGCGCGATGCTTTTGATATTTTTCGAGCCGAGTTCCGTGAGAACGGAGCCACCGTTCGAGGGATCGCGGGACTTTTAATCCGGATCGATCGTTTCGCGACCGTGCACGTTCGAGCAAGAATCCTTGGGTCCTTTATGTTTTTTCGAAAAGTTATTTGGATCGAAAATCGATTTTTGTTGCAACTTTTCAAGAAGCTGCTATTTTTATGACTTTTTAAAAAGTCACGATGATCGAAAATTAATGTTCCTTTTGATTTCTTAAAAAGTTGTTGTGATCGAAAATCTGTTCTTGTTACATATCTTTAAAGATGTTGATGATCAAAATTGGTTTTTATTTTACTTTTTAAGAATATGGAGTTTTAAGAGGGTTCTGTTAGATTTTTGCAGTCGAATTTGATGTGGTTTGATTCATACAGATTTCTAAAGAAGAAAAAAACTAATACTTATTTAATGGAAAGAATTATTTTGGAAACTAACAGATTACTTAAGACTATAGCATTCGAACAAATTATTTCAGCTGAGGTTAATAAAAAGTGAGAAAACTTCTTAATTGAGCAATCTGAAATTTAAATATATTCTTTCAAATAATACCAATGATAGCATTGTTAAGAATGTCGTATTTCGTTCACCAAGAAATAATCAGAAAACTGATGAGATTTTGACACTTCAAACTAGAATGCGAGTCGTTTTGTAATTTCAATTATTTTTTAAAGTGGTACGAGCAATGATAACATTAACATAACATAATATAAAAATATTTTAATAATTTTATTCATATTGCTTAGATAAGATAACGACCTCATATTTCTACCGCTATCAAAATATAATTTCCCAAGAACTTTTACTTAACACTCAATGAAAACGATTCATTAAAACTGTATATTTACAAACGTCCCAAAACTAATTCCTCTTTACATATTAGCGTTCGAGTTTAAACTACAAAGGCACGAGTGGCACAAAATGTACAGCCGTTAGAATCATAAAAGCACAGTGTGCTGTGTCGTTAGCACCAATTGTGAATTTCAAGACCTATGACCACACCATACGCAGTTTTCAATTGAAAAAGTATGATACTAGGTCGTCGACAGTGACCTTACAATCTCACGAAACCGAAAAACCAACGACGAGAAAAAAGATGTTGCAACTGTTGCCTAATAAAGAGCGAAGCCAGTAAAGTGTCCGATTCACACGTCCCTCTCTATACGTGAGCACATATAAAATCACGCGTTAACATTATCTGGGAACCAGATGCAAAAATCTACGACGCCTGCGCTCGCGTTACTTAGTAACAAGAAAAAGGAAGCAGTAAAAGAGGAAAAATGCAATAAAAACGTATCGTCGCATCTAGCGTTGTTACGGGGATAAAAATACCCTTACGTGCAAGATAAGCCTGATATTTGAATGTGCAACGTGTTCGCGATAAACAGTCGGCGATTTGCATATTAATGCCCAAAGAAAAAGCGAGATCCCTCCGAGCCCCGGCACTTTTACAGTGGAACGCTCGTCTATTTTTTTTCCAGGCCGCGACTCGGCCTCGCTCCACAAGACTAGAAAATTCAAAATAAACTCGTCAACAGGCCATGATAAAGTGTTATCCTCGTAAAAGTGCAAACTTCACTGTACAAGCGGTTCTCGTAAAGGACGAGTTAACTCGTTCTACTCGGTGGAGAACTTAAAAGCCGTCGTGCAACATTTTTGCTGTACGTGCATATAGACACTCGCGCAACGAACCGCGCGCTGACATGTACACACGTATGCATACATACACACGCGTGCGTACGCACATACATACAAATACCTATTTGCTTTTCTTTCGCCAACGAGCATCGCTAATTTTTCAGCGCATCGCTGCCGTCATAATGGATGCCTTTAATAACTCCCTTCACTTATCCTTATTAATAGTCTCCTATTTTATGTCCTGTTAAGTGTCTAATTTCAATTTTTCTTTCGTCACACTTGTTCATCACATGAAAAATTCAGGTTTGCCCCGGTTTCCCTTTGGAATTGTAAAATTATGGGGCAGATTTAGGCGGTTAAACAACGGTTTTCGAAAGAATCATTTTTTTTCTTTCTTTCCTCGAACAATGGGCCGCGAATTTTCCCATGGCTGTGAATTACACCATTTTCCTACGACCGCAGGAATTCTGGTTTCACCGCGAGTGTCACGTCGGTTTCCTTTTTAGTCGCGAGATGCACCGATTTTCCTCTGCGGCCACGCAGCCGCTAGTCAGGACTAGAAACCTTTCTTAAATTGCTGGTTAGAGCTGATATTCCTTTCCACTTCGAATGCTTCGCGAACAGTGCAGAGAAAATAGTGTTTCACGTAGTGAGCAGTAAATGTGTTATTCAGCAACGTGTGTCAATCGATTAGAATTTTTTTCTTTGAGTGATTGATCGCTTAATGCTTGTGTACGGAAGAATCAAATCATTAAAGATCTACCTAAAAATGATTGAGTTATTGATAAAATTATGATTCATTCGCTAATTGTTCACATTGGACGATAATCACCGATTGTTAGTTAACAATTGGAAATCATTAATATTAATATGAATCGGCAATTGTTAGCTTTTAATAGAAAACTTTTTTGAGTTATACCGTTCCTTTTCTCAATTTACTTTTACTTGCAACGAATATTTCAAATACAAGTATCAAACATATTAGAACATTTGTTTTTCTGGTTTTTAAATTACTGGAATAAATACCTTCTTTACAGGGATATCGTTTTCTGTTTAACATCGTTTTATCTGATGTATATTGCTTCTAATTTTAGAAATATTACTCGTCTAAACTTTCTGCTCGCGGCCGCTATTCAAATGAATGTCTCTATAACCAAGAAGATCACTCCAATTTTCCTATGACTCTAATATACTATAAAACAATATTTTACTTGACCCAGGTATGTGTTTGTCCCTTGTAAATCGATATCATTCCGTCTGTAGATTGCTTCACCAGCAAAACAACGTGAACGTTTGCTAGTTACTTCGATTGACCGTACGCAATTCCCTATCCTCGATCCATTAACTTGCCGATATGTAATGTTCGTTCGATCGTTTCTACTACCAAATTCCTTTTCCCAACCTCGTTGATTTGTGGCTTGTGGTAGCCACCAATCTATTGGGACGTGGTCTCAAATTCAATTATATTTACTATCGATGGGGTTGAAGAAAATTATAAGGATTTATGGGTAAATAATATTTCTAAAATTAGTATGAATAGAAGTAAAACTATATTCTTCAACAAAAATATTTGAATGATAATATGGTCGAAGACTTATTTATTGCGCTATACTTAAAACATGTATAAATGTTGAACTGACGAAGATTATTATTATTTCTTTATAAATAAGCATTAAATATGAATGAATTTAGCAAAAGACGAAATAATCTTTATACCAATTGCAAATGGATTTTTATGAGGATACAAATACGGTATTTTGTTATTCGAATATTTTTATTTCTCGTAATTAATGATAATATTAGAAATTCAATTAAAAAATGTACTTTTCATTATTTCTGTTTTACTATCGTCTTATGTTAGCTAAATGATGTTCGTATTTTTTTATGATAAATAAAGTTTATGTAGATAGATTTTTGGAGCGTGACTTTAGAATGCAAACGAATATTATGTTACTCGATTCAGTTCCTGAATAATTTGTACTGTACTTCGTTAAAGAATTCAAAGAATTCGAATAGTTCCTCTTTAATTGGTTCTGAGATTTGCACCTTGACACAGTTTTCTATATATGTCCCTTTTTTTTAACATTTCTTAAAACGCGTAGCTGGATCAAGAAGCGTAACTGAATTAATTGAACTCATTCCCTTGTATTTTCTAAATTAAGCAAGTCAAAAACATTTTGTCAACAATTTTTTTCTTAAAGGGCATGCAATTTTACGTTCATTGTAGTTTTATGTTCATTCGATTGGCAATAGGATAACAGTTTCTCCTTTTGGCTTGAAAAAACAGCAGATGCAGTTCGAAATCGTCACCAGGAGACTGATACGATGTTACAGGGCGTAAAGTTAGTTCTTGTCAGACATCTACATCTACCCGGTGTTTCAATTTATCCTGCCACCCGTCTGTTTAAGGTAAGTATTAAAAAATTCCAATTGATATACGATGCTGCTCCTTTCCGAGCTTTACTTCAAATATGAAATTAAACAATGAACCACAATGGACTTAACATAATTCTTTTCAAAGGGTCATTGCACAGTGTCTTAATTAATCTAATCACTTATTCGAAACAAGTCATCGAAGATCATACTCAACAGATACATTTTCCATTTTCTAACATTACTTTAATCGTATAACTAAACATAGTACCATAACAAGTTTACTTTAACTATCCGAGAATCACAAAGAAAGATACCGTCAAATACCGGTAGTGTTCAATGAACTCATACACGTAAAATTGATTTTGAAAAATACAGTTTATACATACATCGATTCCTTTTTCATATTTAAAACCTATTAATTCTTTCAATGTTTCATAAACACCAATAAACAACAATTTCAATAACCATTAAAAGGCTTTCAAATATCCGTAAACCTCAAACTATCAAGAAGCAAAACGTATCCAACGGACTCTTCTATTCTTCTAAACATGAATTCATCTCAAATGTCCCAACCCTTTCAAAACTCATGTCCGAACCAACCTCTAAATAACCCGAAACCTACATCTCGCCAAACAACACTCCAACCCATAGCCACCCAGCCAACAATTTAAAAACAAAAACTCAGCCCAGAAGCTCCGCTCTAGTTCGCCTCTCCGTCAATAGCCACTCAGTCGCGAGAGAGTCCTTACCGTGTTAATCAAACATATCCCCAGCACCTGCGCGCACCCACCTTTCTCACCGGTGTGCGTCCGGGCCGCCCGGAGCCAGCTCCGCCGAGGTACCTTTAAGATCCACCGAACGTGTGTGTGGTAGCACGCACGCGGTTCACCTGCACCGAACCCACGAGAACCATGACCACCGATATACGTTGCGTGTAATCTCTCGCGGTCGAAACTTTCACTAAAGCGGCGGGCAAGCGAGTGAGCGAGCGAGCAAGCGGGCGGCTCAGGGATGAACAGCGTCGACGATGATCCTTGCTTTTAGTGTCCGGACGAGAAAAAAAAACCGATCCTGACCCGACCGACCGACCGATGGATCGATCAACCGACCGATCGATCGATCGTATCTGATGCGAGTACAAGTTGCCTGCGCGCGTGGGTGCTTCTCCTTTCGCGTGTTCACCAATCCGTGATTTCGAATTAGTCCCGAGGAAGAGAAGGAACGCGGTGGGCGGCGATCAATCCGGCGACCGATCGATGGCCTCAAGGCGCGACGCGGAGCGGCTCGACGCTCCGGACGAGATCGTGCGACTAAAGCTCGCGATCCGCGAGGACGCGCCGCGAACCGGAGACCGAGTACCGTCGTATCCCCACCTTCGACCGGTTTAAATAAACTGTATCGCGCAGGCTCAGGGGCACGCGAGAGCACACCGCCGCCGAGGATCTCCTACGACCTGCCTTTTCTTTTCCACTCCCTTTCTATTCGACTTCCGGGGAACGGCGGGAGGGGGTGGTATATGCCCGGGTTCGTTCGGCTGGCAGGGAGGACGGGCTGGTGGGGCTCTTCCTTTTCCCGCGCGCCGAGCCAGCCGCTTCCGGTTCCGCGGCACCCGAGATTTCCCGCTGCGTGCCCTCTCTCGCAGTACGCTTCCGTTGATTTTCCTCTCGCCCGAGGACGCCGTGTGAAATTTCGATCGGGGACGCCGGTGGAAAATTAGCGCGGGGGAGAGTTGTAATCGTACTACTTAACCAGTTAACTGCGTTTAATGAGTATACGCGTCGTCTTAAATCGCGAAATGATAGTCATTATTTTATCGATGAATTATTTATTTCTTCACATGAATTTGTTATTCTTATTCGTTTTGCTTTAATTTTTCGTTGGAGAGTATCGTAGATGCATTTTCTCTGAGTGTGACGAATGTACGCTTTGTTATTTGATCTTATTGCACGCGGTGAGAGACTTTTCAGACTAAATTCCATAATTAACAGGTTAACCATAAAATTAAAAAATGAAGTGTATATTCGTCAAACACAGTACGAATGCATCTAGGATATATTTTAATGAAAAACCAAAGCAGAGCGAAGAAGAGTTGTAATTCATATATGTTTATCTAAAGAAATGAATAAGTCATCGTTGGAAAAATTGTGTTAACACGTTCGCGAACACGGTTACATTTGAAATACTCTTACGGTGGGCCGTGCTTTTTTGGCAATTGATTCGCGTGGTGTGTTATTCATATAATTTTTGAACATTTAAACCATACAACTGATTTATTTTTGAACTCCAAAAGTTAACGTGTATAATAATTTCAAAAAAATTAAGGCTATATGAAATTAAATGCATGGTAACGTGACTTACAAGTTTGAATGTTTTGTAAGCATTCATGGCGTTATGCATCACAATAAAAATGAATGCATTTTTATTGATTAAATATCTTTGCATTTGGCAGTTTTTTTTTGTAGAAATAGCAAAAGCTTTAGTGAAAATAGTAGAGAATTTAGGAGAGACTTTCTGGTGAGGTGCAGGTGACATTCTTTGCAATTAACACTGACTGTATCGGAACTTTGCATGTACTTATTCCTACCAGTTAAATAACTAGTTGTAAAATAAAGGTAAACAAGTTAAAGAACAAATTTTTCTTATTGGAAACAGAAACAGAAGGAGGGACAAAAATGATAAAACTGATTAATCGGACAATGCAGAATCCTTATTGAAATTTTAAAACCGGTCATTTGGTCAGTCGTGATACATTTAGTGCCAAACACCTTTGCATTTGAAAGTGTTTTAGTCAGGATATTCGAGTTTTTGTGGTGAGATATCGGTGACATCTTTAAATAAGAATAAGAATCAAAATAAGATTCCAAACCACATTTATTATATCGCAAGTTATATTTCTCGTTGCTAGTTTCTTATCAGCCGAAGGCGGATTTCAAAATACTTTTCCACTTTTTATTATTAATGTTTAAAAGGTTTCATTATTTTATTGTCGAAGTGAAGATAATTCGATTTGTCTTGGTCTATCTTAAATAGATGAAAGAACGAAGCTATATTATTTCAATATTTCACGTATTAAAGCACTGTATCACACATTTTTTTATTCTCAGTTTAAGTTTTAACGTGAACGATTTTCAAGGACGAAAAACTAATTAGACCGATTCAAAACGAAAGAGCTCCGAATCGATTTGAATAACCGGATTACAGGACTCGGATTACAAAATTATTTTATGTTTCATTTACAAATGAATGAAACATCGAGAAACAGCTATTTCAAACGGCGTCAATTATATTTGAATTAATCTGCATCCTGATTGGATCGTATTTCATATTGAGCCAAAACAAATCGATTAATTGGTATATTAATTAGGAAAGCTCTCTCCTCTCTCATCGTGTGTGCAACGAAAGTGTCCGGTATTTTTCACGATTGCGCAAGAAAAATCAGAATCGCGTACTACGAGAACTGTTCGCGTTTAATATTTATGTGAGATTCGTTATCCGTTTACGATATGATAAGCACTAAATACTACCTTATTTATTATCAAACCCCGAGCTGGATACCACGGTTTAATTACACCGTTCGCGGTCTAATTAACAATCCCGTATTATATAACCTATCTGTATAATTAACATAGGTTACTACATCATAATTTAGTATTTCACGATGAAACTAAGAGAGCTTCGACGTGTCTATATGGCTTGCATAAATTCCTCGGGATTAAAGCAACGGGGCCGTAATCTGAATACGTTTCACTTGATAGCGTAATTTCCCCGACGTTGTGGTATTTGATTAATCTCATCACGTAACGTTACATTTTTCCAGCCTGAAAGGTTTCGCATCTGCATTCCTTTCTATCCGTGAACGACTCAGCCATTCTAGCCGAGTTAATTAATAACTCGACTTTCGGGACGAATAACCTGTGGAAAACCTTTGACCAGATTTCCATAAGAATACGTCATTAAGGAACTCATTAACTGTATACTGATTAACGTAACAGTAATCGAGGTACACTTAACGTAACAATACTTAAACTGATGGTAATTGTATATTATAGTCGTAATTATTATTGTGATAAGGTGAATTAATTGATGTTGGAAAAATTTACATTAAAATTGATAGAATTTGTTAATGAACGTAGATCGTTATGGTTACGGATATGATAGTTTCGCAATCTGACAAAAAATAGTTAGTCTATCGATTCATGGTATTTTGTACAAAATGTTCTAAAAATGTAACATTCTTCGGAATATGTACATTATTTGTATTTTCTAACTAGCACTAGTGGTATATAAGGTTAAGACCTCTTTGCAACATAGCTTCTAGCTATGCAGTTATTACGAAGTATCTATGATATAGAACAGATCCAGTCTTCGGAATTCAGGTGTCAAGGAAGGAAAACTGAACATCGTACACACTAGAAGAGCACCACAAACTCAACAACTAGATAGCCTAGCACTGATGGAATGTTCACATTTTATCTATTGCAAACCTATTAATCGGCTCTTCAATTATAAGTGCTGAACAATGTATAATCTATTAAAATCACTCCGTAACGAGATTCCCTTACACTTTGACTTTAAAGTTAGCATAATTTAAATTATCTCTAAATTAACCATTTATTACTGAATTATATATATTTCACGTTTTTGATGTATATTTGAATTAATAATTATCCGATCGCTATTTTAGTCACTGCTAACGAGAACACTGACATCCTCGAACACTTTCATTGACAAGTAATGCAAAAATTACTATAATCATCGTAGTCGCTGGTATCGATTTGGAATATCCAGCTAACACGCCGTCTTCATCAGATGGCGTTCAAACATATGGTGTGCTACTTTCCAGAAATCCTGTTGAACCGCTATGCAACACGTCCTCCAACGACGTCATCGACCTCCAATGTATATATCGTAATGTCTGTTTGCTCAACAGTATATATCGTCTTCGACCTTCGTTGTGTCTATATGAACAATTAACGAGAATTTCAGTAATTCTTCCGTACCTTAACCTTCGTACACCATAAATGTTCACACTTCGAGTGAATCACACCCAAATTACCATTTTCTCATTGCCCAATAAACACATACTCTGCCGCTCCACAATTGCTAACACCTTCCACATTATTTACATAAACAAAAACACTGTCTTTATCGCTATGTATGCATTATAATAGAATTACAGTTATGTAATTCACATATTTTCCCATATGGCGGTGAAATTTAAAAAATTTTTTAAAATATTCAAATTATTAATAAGTAAATTAATTTTCAACTATATATGGCAATTTTATCTATTTACCAAACCAGTTTAACAAGCTACGTATTTGATGGTACACATCGTCTAATATGATATCCAAGTGTCCACATTTTAAATAATCTTCTAACCCATTGCACTTGTGTGTCATGCTGGAGATGACGATACAAATTTGTTACAGAACGTTAGAAATTGTTTTAAAAAGTACCACACTTTAAAAGATTATAAAAATTAAATCGTTTCTCTAAACGTAAGTACAAGCTTACACTAAACAGCATTGAAAATAAATCGAATACAGAGGATTGACACTTAGCTAACCGGTCACGAGTTAACCCGTATTTGCACGACTCCAACCGTTCACGAATTAAGTTATATTTCGTTTTATTGATTGATATCTGAAGATAATATAGGTCTTTATGAAAGCGTTTTACGTCGTATCTATTGGATGAAATTGTTTCAATCAATTCAACATATGCGTAGATAAAACATGTACATTAAAATTTAACGGAGTTATTTTCAGCTAAAATTATCGGTCAGTGAATTGTTAAATAACTTCGATCAAACAAACACATACTAACGCTTACAAAACTTAAAAGTTTCATCAACGCCATAAATAGACTACATTCGTTGCAGCAGGCCATGCAAAACATGTCAAATTACATTCACAAAATCTTAAAACTCCTCCACGAAAAATACGAATTCCTTAATTCCTTCTCCAGTAAATGATCTCCCAAGATCCGAATTAGCATAAACCGATAACGTGTCACCGCGCGAAATCGAACAATGAATAAAACAGAGCCCCGAGAAGCATCGACGCACACGACCCGAGTAGAAAAACAATTTAGGCGTAGGTGATGCACGAAGGGGAAAAAATATTTAGCGGTCGAACGGGTACCGTTAGGAGGGATCATTATGTATTAATATTAATGATGTCAGTGATACGTTCGAGTGTTACGATACGCAAGGTTCCCCTCATAATTTATTCATCCGTTTCTCAGAAAAACGAGCGAGCACGGCGCGCACCGGCATGTAAGCAATAATGCAATTGATCGTTGCGAAACGTTG